GATTCTCGTAAAATTATTTTAAAATTACTTTTATAGAATTTGATCCTTTTTTATTTGGACGTTTGATAAAATATAATTAAAAATTATATATCTATAGGGAATTTCATTATCTCAAAGTAATATTTCAACCCGTAAAAACTTTTATTTCTTATTTGAAATGTTTAATCATGTTGAAGTTCTTATATATAATATTTTGAATAAAATTATGCATGTATGTGTAGAAATACATTCTTAAGATCTACAAAATTAGATCATTCTCCAAATAATATAAACAACTAATTAATTTAGTAAATTTAAAATTATAATATCACACAGTTGTCTGAAATAATTTAACCAATAATTGAAAAAATATTACATCTTATTACTGATTAAACTTACTTTTTCAGTAAATTCGTTCACCAAATTCTATAGAAATAACAGAAAATATGGTATTAACACGTGGAGTAGAAATAATAATCTTCAGATGAATACAACACTTAGTAGTAGAGAGAGATTCCATAAATATCTCTTTATCTTTAAAATCATACACTCAAATACATATTAGAGTTTGTCATCTTGGCGATAGACATTACAATTTTGTAATTTATTATGCATTTATCGACTTTGTAACTGAGTTGCTTATGCTTTAGTTCCAAATGTCGATGTATTTTGCTCTCAAAAGTTAACAATTTTTATAACTCTATTGCTTCAACAAGTTGATTGTTTCCAAGTTTGGAGGGCAAATGACTTTTCTCAAAAAAAAAAAATGATTAAGCAAAGTCGCTAGTTGTATTTATCAGGTAAATATGCATTTTAAATAGTTATATAATCATTTCATCCAATTCACAATTTGTTTAATTGACTTATACCTTTATATATCGTAGATCAGGTATATCCAGTAAAATATTATTAAGTAATAAATATACATTTTCAAACATGATTTATTTTTCAAAAAAAAAAAAACAAAACAAAAAACAAAATCAATCAAAAACATAAGAAATTAAAGAAATGAACTAAACATTCGTGATTATAGAGTGAGCGAATGGTAAGAATATGTATTTTTTTAAAAAATAAAATACGATAATAATTGAATGAACGAGAAATAAAAAAGAAACGCATAGGATTCCGATCGAATCCAAAAATAAGTAAGAAGGCAACATAACGTAGCCCCATGATGAAGAATTCATTCTCCTCCTTCAATTTAAAAAGAAGAAAAAAAGAAGTGCAAATTAAAGAAGGTTTTGGAACAAAAACACATATGATCACATGCATGCCTGCCCACGATGGAGGGTCCTGGTGTACGGATGGACGGTGGCAGTGATTTTAGAGGGTCCCCGTTTGATGCGGTTTTTTAGGGAATGGGCCCACTATTTGATGTGATTTTAATTTGATCTTGATGGGTTTTGATCGTGTGTGTTGGGAGTGTAGGGGCCCTCCGTCATCTCCTTTTAAATCTTTCATATGTGATGGAAACACCATACCCACTCAATTCCTCTCCCCTAAATGTCACTCTCTCTTTTACTTCTTATGTAGGAGAGACTGAGAGAGAAAGATGGAGGGGGTAGGACCCACCTTTTTTTTTTTACAAATATATTTATATTTATATTTATTTATATAATAATAATAATAATAATTGTATGTATATATTTACAAACACAAACCTAGTTTAATAGATTTCCCAAAATTTCATTTTCTCATAATTACCACAAAAATACAAGCTACAAGTACACATACATATCTTTTACATACATACATATATATATATATATATATAAGGCATAGTCAAATAAATTAAATATTTATTTATTTTTTAAATTATTAGTTAATATAAATTACTTATTATTTATAAAATTAATAAATAATCAATTTCATTTACATAAATTAAATTTTACGTATTATCTAATAAAACAATAAGCGACGAATCTCATTTATAAAAATTATACTTACAAATTTAAGATGGTAAAATATTTAATTTTTTTTTTCTAAAATTATTTTGATTTAAATTGAAAAAAAGTGATACAATATTTTCTTTGAATTAATTGAGGTATTATAATTGTGAGGCTGAATGATCAATCAGCTCCCCTATTATTTTCAAACATATCTCATCAACAATTAACTAATAATATGATTTAATTAATATTTAATCATACCCATCAATTATTAAAGCAAAATTAATTAATTAATTAATTAATTAAACTTTGTACCCGTCGCTTACTGCCGCCCGGAATATTTCCCAAAAAAATTAAATAATTACTGCCAAAAAGATTTTGGTTGTAACAAAAGTTAGATTAATCATATATTAAATTAAAAAATAATTTGAAACCCATAATTAATTATAATTAAAATGGAATTCTCCATACATCTATACATGTATATATATATATATATGTGTGTGTGTGTGTGTGTGTACGTAAGTGTTGGGAATTGAATTAAAATATTTAGATTTGAATTTCATTTTCAAGAGTTGAAGGAGACAAGATGGTATACCCTAGAGGATGTTAATTTTACATTATAAGGAATCTTGTTGACTTCTATTTGAACGAGGAAAGATATATATACACATATATATATATATACACACACACACACATATATATATATATAACACACTTGTACCAATATGTAATGACAAATAGGATAAAATGGAACATGTGATCTTATGGACACCCATCTAATGGTTTTCTGGGTCCAATATAATTAAAATTTTAAATTAAATAATGGGTTTGATTTTGTGATTTTGACCATCTTGTTTGTGTGTTTTAAATTATTTAATTGTATCACATTTATTTTTCTAATAATCTTTTGATTATAACATAATATATAGTAATTTATAATAAAAATAAATATATATATATATTAAAATATTATATACTTATTATACTTGGAATTATTTTAAATTCGCCACGTGGCATGTATATGTTGAGCCGATCATATTACATCACAACATTTGAAAAGCACCGTTTGCCTTTTTTATTATTATTGTTTTTAAAAATATATATTTGTGTTAGTATATAAGTCTGAAATAAAATTTCTTTATGTTAAAATATAATTTACAGAACCCGTACAACATTACTAATACAATAATTAATAATACCCAGTTTGCATATTAGATACTATATTTTAAAGTGGGTTATAAAAATATGTTTTGTAATTTATAGTAACAAATTTCTATTAAGATTAAGATATAGTAAATTGAATATAATAGTATATGCTAATTTTACTGTACTGTAAATATACTAATTTGGGAGTGCAAAATATAGTAATTTAATATTGTAAATTTTTATATTTACAACCATATTAACCAAAAATATATATATATATTTTTTTTTAAAAAGAATCTATAAGATGTGGCAGTATCACATGCTGATTGGACCT